GAGGAGCAGAAATGATTCATTTTGTTTCTGTGTTAAATGATGTTTAGAACTTTTAGCTCTGATTCAAAAATAAACACCATCACTACAAGCAAAAAATGGATAGTGAAATGACTGGCTGTCCCCATTAGCAAAACTCAAATGCACAACAGTTTGAATTCAATTAAAAACAAGAAATAAGCCTGTGGCATGATACTTCCCTTGTTTATTTACAAATCATTAAAAGATTATTAGCTCATCCTTTCAACTTTTTTTGTTGAAGACTCCTGTTTTAAGGAGGACTGGGGTTTCGTGTGCTGGTTACTCCAGCTCCAGATGGATGTTTTAGCTCTTGAGAACCTGAGCCCACAGCAGAGCTGTGAGGCCAAGCAGGCAAATGTGACCCTCCTGAGGATTTCCTTGCAGGTGGGTCCAGCTGCTGAGGCTCTGACAAAAGCCCCTTGTGGCATTTGCAATGCACAGTAGAGAACAACACTTTTTCCCCTAAGTTTCTTTTTTTTAGTGTAAATTTTTCTACAGACATGCAGAGGATGTTTGTTCCTTAAGGCCACCTCCCTGGGTACCTACTGAGCAACAGAGCCAGCTGTAGTGATACCATGTAGAATATTGGCAAGTACACCCAGGCTGGCTGCTTTAGCCAAAGTTAAATGGGAAAGCTGGAGCTTTTCCTGCTGTATTGACAGTTGTACAGTTCAGGAGAACATATCTGATAAATCAGGGAAGAGCCTTTAATCATTGTACTTATATACCATTAAAGAATTTATTAGGTCTGCCCTTAAGACCTGTGCAGAAGTTGCTAAAAACCTGATTTTATTTTAACTCTGGCTACAAGTACTTTAGGTATAAATAAAAGCTTGCATCCTTCCTACTGATGTTATGTGTGATTTGGGATAGATGGATGCAGGAGAAATGTTTGCAGGTAGTGTTGCAGAGTCAGGATTGATCCTTGTTTGTCCTTTGTGCATTTTGTTCCTTCTGAAGCCCTAAGTGCCTCTGAGGATTGAAGTGGCACTGTCTCATACCTGCTTCAAGTGAACCCGCTCAGGAAGGGGCAAACCAACTGTGTAGCCTGGAGAGCTCAGAGAACCTGACCCTGGTCCAAGCTCAGTGTGTTTGGAGTCTGTCAGAAAGGGTGTTACCAATTATTGAGTGTGAACAGACCAATAATTGAGTGGGAACTGTCACTTCAGGGCTGTCAAAAGCCCCCCCCTGTGCCTGTGCTCACGTCAAACATTCCAGCGTCACCTCAGGTGGTTTTTATTTCCTTCGATTTAGCACGACTTTGTCCGCCGGGACCGACCCCCCAGGGTGCTCATAGACCTCATCCAGAGGACAAAGGATGCAGTGAGGGAGCTGGATAACCTGCAGTACCGGAAAATGAAGAAAATCCTGTTCCAGGAGACACGGAACGGCCCTCTGAACGAGTCTCAGGAGGAGGAGGAGGTACTTCTATTTTGTCACCCCATTTGCACTGTTCCAAGTAGTTTCAGGGCAAGAGAGATGTTCCTCTCCTTAGGGTGGCAGAACAAGCACAGCCTAGGTGAGGAATGTTGTTGGAATATCATCTGGCTCAGCAGAGAGGCAGGTTAGGATAAGGAGTGATAGGAGCCCTTATTGAGTGCTAGAACTGCCAATAAATGCACATCGGAAACGTCGGGTTTATTTCCAATGGTGGCCTTTCTTCTGGAAGCTTTAGGATGGAAAATCATTCAGAGGGAAGTTCTTTGCAAGAGGTGGTTCCCAGACTGTGTGAAGGAGGGTCTTTGACAGCCCAAACTGTTCTTTCTCACCAGCACAGTCAAAACCACTCAGTGTAAATATTTTCTCAATTACCATAATTTTACTGTAAAACCTATCATGAACTGAGAAACAAATCATTGGATTAATAAGACTTATTTTTTAAAATTCTTTAATGTTAAAGAAGAAAAAGGTTAAAAGTTAAAGACATAAAACTCAGCTTCAGTTTAAATCTTGTAATAAACAACCCACTTAATCAGTGTATGATAATTGACCTTAACTGTGGAGAAGGAAACCAGTCATTTTTCAATTGATGAGCTTAGATGGAAATTAATGTCCCTTGGTGCAGGCACCTTGGATAAATAAATCCATGACTGGTTCTCACTGAAAAACATTGACAGACAAATTGATGTCTGTATTGCTTTGGCTGCAGTGTAGTGAGGTAATAACACACAGAGAGGTGCCCAAGCTCAGAATATCTGCAGGGACTTGGTTTTGAGGTCAAATGTTCCTTTAAAGCTGATACTTAGAGCTCTGGTTTTAAGAAATGGGCACCTGGGTGTCAGGTAGGAGAAGTTCAGGAGGGAGCACCAGCACTTAGTGCCTCTCCTTCCCTGGGATGGAGATGCACAAAAGGAGCAAGAGCAGCATCTGCTGTGATTAAAACTACCAAGTGCTGCTCCTGTTTTGACCTTCCAGCTTCCAGACCTGGAGCTCAGCTGGGGAGTGGGGGATTGTCAGACTTCTGCACTGAAATCTCCCAGGTTTCCCTCCCCATGCATGGCAAGATGTCAGGAGGATGACAGCAGGAAAAGTGCCAGGGAAGGGGTTTCCCACTTGACTGTTCAGCAGTTCCAAGCTCAACAGGATACACGTGGCAGTAGTTGACTCGAAGAGGTATCTCTTGTTCCTCCTGTCCCCGCTCCTCAAAAAACAGGGAAAAGAGCCCTTCTATCTCCAGGAATTCACACTCTGCATGTGCACAGCATGCTCTGCACTGCATCTGACCCCTGAGCCTGTGTCCCACCGGAGGAGGTTGGATTTATTGCTCGTGTGTGTCACTAACTCAGCAGTGAAAGGAGAACAGCACGTGCTTCAGTTGCTGCCTAACTGGTTACAGAACCTGCTCCGCTGTGAATGCCACAAGACACCTCCTCGTTCTGCCTTCTGAGGTGGAAGAGGAGCCTTACAAATCTTTAACACTCAAGAATACTACTAATGCTTTCCTCAGAGCTCTTACAGGAAGGTTGAGGTCGTTTGGAAGGTGTCGAAGGCAGGAAGCCAATGTTAAGGTTTCATTTGCAGTCTCATCTCTGTCCTTCGTGCATAGACACTCATTAATTACACAGCCATTGCCTCATCTCAGATGCTTCATTATGTTATTTCTCCTGCAACTTTATATAAGCATCCTGAAAATATTTTCATTCTCATGTTCTCTGTAAACCAGTATTATTTTGGATTTTAAGTGCTCTCATGCAGGCTCTGAATGATCTGCTGATTGCTTAAAAAATGATCCCACAATCAAAGACAAATCTGTCAAGTCTCAATTTTATCTTTCTGTCAGTCTCCAACAAAATGAGTTCCCTGTTAATTGATTTGTAATGTAATTGTCCCCAAGCTCCCTTTGGAGGCCAGAACAAACTGGGTGCAGCAGCAGGCTGTTCATTTTAGTGAGTCAAGGCTGTTTAAGACCAGGAGCTGAAGGATGTTCAGAGCTCTGTCCTCACTGTGAACTCCTTGCAAGCCTCTTCAGTGCCATTAGTTAATTACAAAGGACCCCATCAATTCACTAAATCAGTCCAGACTAAGCACATACTCTGGGATTACTGTACTCCTGTGAGTATGGAACAAGAAAAAAGGCTGCTAACTTCTGAAATTTGCCTGTAGAATCCAAAATATCTCCTACCTGAGGAACATTTATTTATTTATATATTAAGTTTTGACCCCCCAAATAATCCAGGCTTTTCTGAGTCAACTGCTAAAATTCTTCATTCACCTTGACCTTGGCTGAAAACACAAGGTTCAAGGGGTTTTTAGCTTGACAAAATATAGTTGCTGACTGCTTGGGACATGGAGGTTAAAACCTCTACACCTGTGAAGCACCATGTAAAATTTATCAAATAGGAAAACCAGTGGGTTCATTGTCTTAATATATTTTCTGATTCAGGAAATGTTGGAGCAGCACTGTTTTAATTAGAACTTAGATTTTTTTTCTTTTAATTATGAGACTCCTTCCACCAGTCATCCAGTATGCCTGGATGTCTCCTATCAAGCCAAGAGCCATGCCCAGACTTACTGATACTTGGGAAAAAACGGACTCGAAGCCTGATGCAGTAAGATTACAGGGGAAGAGGCAAAAGCTGCCTTCCCCATATAGATTATTGCACAACCCAAGCAGCCCCGAGAAATGCAGCTGGCAAAATAATGACCTTGAAGTCTGCAGAGTCACCTCTAAAACAGACCTTGGGCATTGCAGGCTCGTGCTGGGCAGGTGATCTCCTGCAGTGTCTGTAACTGATGCCCCTTGTTTTATAGGACAGTGAGCATGGATCAAACCTGAGTAGGAAGATGGACAGTCTGGGCAGCAACCATTCCATCCCCAGCATGTCTGTGAGCACGGGCAGCCAGAGCAGCAGTGTGAGCAGCATGCAGGAGGTCCTGGATGAGAGCAGCCCTGAGCTGGTCATGATGCATAGTGACGAGAGCACCATTAATTCCAGTTCCTCCGTTGTTCACAAGAAGGTATGTTCCTGGTGCTCTCCATGGCTTCCTGCAGTCCCTGTTGGCTCACCTGGTCTGTGTGCTCTGGTCTTGTGCTGAGCCGTCTCTGCTGAGAGCAGGAGCTGGTGCTGGGCTTGCCACAGTCAAGTGCTGTGGGTTGTGGTTTTTTTTTTTCTATAAAAGCATTTAAGTAACCTCTGAAAATAGAAAGAGGCTGCTGGTGAAAGAGCTGTCAGTGCCTAGGCAGGGTCACCCAGACTTGCTGCATGTGCCTCCTCGCCCGGCCCTGCATGTGCACTTCTCCATCTCTGCTTGGGACATCAGTCCTTGTCTCCTCGGGAATGACTGTTCTGTGTCCTGTACTGTGCTGACAAGTGGTCACAGCAGCTCAGCTAACCCTTTACCAGTCACAGTGTGTGATTTAAAATCTGCTTGCACTTGGATTTCCCTCATGAGAAGTGGAAGTTTGCAGAACTTTGGACCCTGCCCACGAGGTATGTTTGGAGTCAAGTTCCACTCGATGCTTTTCTGCTCTTTTGCTGCATGCTGTGATCTGTTGCCTTTCGTTTTCTCGGTGCTAGATACCAAGCTAAAGTTGTCTGGCTGTAAGTCAGCAGCTAATCTCAACTATTTGTTTGACTAAACCAGTTTTGACTTGGCCTTAGCAGTGTCAATTGCTAGTGGGCAGCAAAATGTAGGTTGGTCGTGGGATTGCGTTTGCAAGGAACTTCAAAGTGTACGTTTTTGCCAGAGGAGGTGAAACATTACAGCACTGTGAAAGCCATGAATTTCTTGTTTGTAAGGTTACAGGACAGCCTGGTTTTAACTAACTAAATATTTGTAAGCAGTTTTTCCTCCTGAAATACAGTGTTTGTGTCACTGAATATTGAAGTGCCTGCAAAAGGGAGCTTTTGAGACATTTTATCTTTAACAGGAGATGGCCTTACGTAGTTAAACATACTGGCAGATAAGCTGCACAGGTTTCAGGGGTTTACATCTTTCTGAAATACATTTGAAAGCACCTTTACAGAAGATTTTATTTTCACTTCTCTGAAAAAACTGGTGTTGGGTACCAAATGCCAGCCCAAGGAGAGCAGTGCCACTGGTGTGTGTTCTGGGTGGTTATAGTTGAAGCTCTTTCTCATTATGTGTAGGTTCAGAAATGTGTATTAACTTTAATTTCACATTGTTAAATAGCCATATTTACCACTGCATTAAAGTAGGAGTTTGAGGGGCTGATTTACACATAGGTTATGATGTTACTGCTCGGTGTCATTACAGTTGATGAAAACAAAATGTGAGCAGCTCCCAGCAGACATAAATGGCATTTGTGAAAGGAGTAGAGTTCCTGCTTGTTTTAAGAGTAATGTGATGTTTTATAATGGTTTTATGGCACTTCTGAAGTACAAATACAGGATTTCTGATGCTGTGAATTCAGTCCTCAGAATTCTGCATAGCTCTTCTGTTGAGATTAAGGCATTCAGTTGAGTAGGGTGCACAAACATGACACCATGTGGAAGTTTTTACCTGGTTTGAAAAACACGGGGTGGTTTGCACACTTGTAACTGAATTATTGAGAAAGAAATCACCTGTAGATCCATTTTTAGGGTAATTTTGGAAGCACAAAGCCCAGACCTGCACTGATGGTCTTCACAAAACAATTAACGATTGGCTGCATCTCCTGATCCTTGCAGCAGAGTAGATTCCTTCTTCATTGGAAAATGCTCCCCTCAGCTGGATGTATGCATAAGGCAGATTCAGACTGTGTAGCAGGACGTATTCCAGCCTGAAAATATATTGTTTTAATTTAATACATGATTTTTTATTCTCTGTTACTTAGGGGAATGCAATTTTAAATGGAAAACTGCTTTATGTGTATATTATGTATATATTAATACATAGTGAAGAGACTATATTTGGAGCAGGACACTTCAGGGGGCTTATATACACATATATCCCACTTTATTTTCAAGGTAAAATTCTGTCTTCTGACAAGACTTCAGTTTATCTTTGTGCTTTAACTGTGTTTCTGGGAGCTGGGATGAAGCCTGTGGTGAAACAAGTGAGCCCCGAGTTGGGTATCACTCTGGAGCCCAGCACAAACAAAAGGGAAAGAACCTGGGGTTCAGGTTTAATTTGAGCTTTTGTTTTGCATTTAATCAGCCTCTAAAGGCTAAAAAAATACTGATGAACACAATCAGCCAGCTGTCTGCATTATGTGGGCAATAGGGTCACATACGAGGTGGTTTTGACATGGGTCAAATCACAAGTGTTCTGTGAAACTATGGTAATTCCACAAATGTGTTAATTAACAACCTCCAGATGTACCAGGCTGTGTAAAGGGACCAAGATGACAAAAAATGGCCTGGATTGCTGATATTTTCTAAGGCTCAAAGCTCACAAGTGTGAGAGGCCTTTTAGTTTTTTTGGACCACGGCCCCAGAAAGTCGCGTGTAAGTAAAGCATAGGATGGAAGAGCCTGTGGTCTTGTGTGAGATCCAGTTCCCAGCCTTGAGTGCTTCAGAGAGCCAGTCTGGAGTGGGCTTGACCTGGGGTAAACGAGGAGCAGACCATCAGCTGTGTGGTGCTTGGCTGGGTGAGGCTTCAGGCATCTCCAGCGAGCCCTCCTGGCATCTCTGACCAGCTCCCCCGAGGCAGAGCGTAAGAAACAGGCTGATACAGTAAAAAGCAGTTGTAAACAACTCATTTTCTTTCTTTTTTTTAACAGCTGCTAGTTGGCTGTAACTTCCAAAAATGTTTTGTGGTCACAGGGTAAGTGAAATGACCTGTTCTGATCTGGTTGATTTTCACTGGCTGTACTAGTTCATGATGGCCAAGGTGCTTGGGTTTTTTGCCTGGTGGAGAAGAGCATTTGGGGTAATTCCTCCATGGAAAACAGGCACAGCCTCACCCCTTCCACAACACAAAAGCTTTGGGGCAGCAGTAGAGCTCCATGTTTTTAAACTTGGGCTTGGAGCAGAGATGACTCCCACCTGTCAGCAGAGTACAACTGGTAGGGTGGAAGAAAAATCACTGGACAGGAAGAAAACAACAATAACAACAATGAACCATAAGTGAATGTGTAGCTTTTTATGTAATTTAATTTATATCTCTGCCCTAAACTCTTGGGAGGAAAAAATGGCCATAATATCTGCTTCTCAGGCAGGAAGGCTGCATCCTCCCTTGCTGGGATGTCAGTCCATCCCTGGGATCAAAGCCTGCTCCCTCAGGATACCTCAATCACCAGCACATTCTTTACAGGAAATACAGATGCCCAGCTTGGATGAGCTGTCCCACTAGGAGTTTTTCCTTGTCCCCTTGCAGGTTTCAGATTGGTGACCGTGTACATCTCAGTGTAAGAGCTCTGGTGTTCTAAGGTCTCTCTTCTGAAGCCAATTAAGTAACTCTGCTTGTCCATGCAAGGCTCATCCTCCCAATGGATACACATTCTCATGTCCATCCCCTGTTGGGAACTTGTTCAGCTGCACAGTTTGGGAGATGAAAAGTAAATGACACCTCTAATACAAACCCAGCTGTATCTGAGGTCCCAAAAAAGGGCAGGGAGTTAAATTCCAGTTAAACTGGGCTTCAAAGACATGTAATTCAGATTTTAAAAGCAGATAAATATCAGTTAATTCCTCTTAAAAATGAGGATAAAGAGTTTGGCTCCCAATAAAATAAGAGTTATAGACATCAGTTGATGTATCAAATGTTTTGTCACCTGCTTTGTTCAGCTGCTGTTATATGGCAGTGTGGGCACAGGTGGCTTCCCAGAAATATTTTGTTGTCCTCAGTGAATTTATCATTATATTATTTCCACAAAACTATAATATTAAAATATTGTACTCTTTTAATCTAAATAAAAAGCCACAACAATATTATTTTGTTCAACTGCAGTGCTCAGTTGTTGCTGGTTCTTGCTTCAACCGTAAAATCATCAGTACCTTCTGAAACTCGGGCAATAAAACGGCAGGCAAACCTTGTGATTAAAATCTAGTTTATAAGCAAAAGGTGTTAGCAGCTGATCATCACAAATTCTTGCCCAATGTCTGTAATAATAAGGTACCTCTGTAATAGCTGCTGCAACTTGAGTGACTTCCCAAATCCATTAAATTACCCTGTGCACGTTGCCTGTTGCTGCCATAATTAACGTGCAGCCTTCGTGGAGAATTCCATGCATGGAGAGTGCTCTGGAGTGGTGGCTCTACAAGAGTTACAGCTGAGGCAAAGCTGAGGCTGTTCTCCTGCATGTCAAGATTTATGATTCATACTTGAAAGGATGTTTTCTGTGAGATGTAAAGGATATTTAGGTAATGACTTAGTTTTGGCTTGCATGTGCTTGGCAGCAGTGACCCCTCACATACCTTCTGGAATCAAGTCAAGCTGGTTGGGGACATGAAGCCTTGTCTTGAAAGATTTTTGATGCTTAAAACCTCTCTGTAGATTATCAAGGCATTTAGTGCAGTGTGTTGAGATGAATGATGGCACGCTGTTGTTTTCCTTGCTCTTTAAATTCCTAGAAGGCAGGGATTTGCTGCAATTCCATTAAAGTCCTTACTGTGGCTCGGAAATTGCCTTTCCTGTTTGTCTGGGAGACTGGCAGCCCTTCCAGTTAGTGAATCCTCCTGTGTAAACAGCGTTTGTGAAGGGTTTTATATTTGGTGTGCATAACAAAAACCACCGTGTGCAAGTGACTCTTCATTCGAGGTGAAAGTGTAGCTGTTCTGGCTTTGGGCTGGTCCAGGGTAGTCAGAGTTTGGATGATAAAGCCCTTTTTTAAGTGAGGAGGGTGAAAAGACTGTGTAGTAGAACTGGGATGGACTCTAGGGAGTAAAATGCAGGCTCTTACTCTGCAGGGTGACCTTGGCAAGACTCCTGGTTTGAGCAGGAACTCGTGTGCATTGTGAGATGCTCAGGCAATACACCAGGAGCAGCTGTTCAGATACCAAGCTGGAAGCACCACTTAAGTAACTGGAAGCTCCACCAGCTCTGGTCAGACAATGCTGGAGAAATACTTGGGAGGCTTTTGTCCTGGCAAATATGATCTGCAATGTCAAAGCCAGCACCCAACCAAATACCTCCATTTGTTGTGATCAGCTTGGAAACTGTTTAGGTGGATGATACAGTCAGAATAACAAATTATTCCTTCAGTAGGAAGTTGAAGGTTCCAGGTTGTTGACCCTAAATAGAAGGATTTAACGTGAAGTGTGATCTGAGTTGTGCCCAAAGTTGCATCCTTAAGGCAAATATGGCAAAACCCACAGAAAACAGCTGATATGTTACTTTAAAAACAAACCAGGGTTTGAAGTGCAGATTTGGGGCTGAGAGATACCCTGAGCCAAACCTGATGAATTTCAGTCAGGTTTTGCTTACTGAGTACCTCGAGCTCAGGTGCCAGTTTTGAGTCTTTTGTTTCCCACAAATCTGGAGCTAAAAGTTTGAAACAAAATTTCCTGATCTGTGCCAAAACCTGAAAGGCAAAATGACTTCAGTGTCTCTTAGCAAGCTTTTGGCAAAAGAAACTAAAATTAAAATAACAGAGATCCATTTTCTGGGTTTGCAGGTGGATGTTTGACACAGTAGCCATCAGTCACATCATCTGAGGAAGGTGGAGATGTGGCTGCTCTTGGGTTTATTTCTCTTACTGGCAGTCTCTGTGGCAATGTAACCTGTTAGACTTGGTAACTGTTTGTGCCAAGTGTTTTTATTTCTGGTAGTGTGACAGCTTTTTCAGAAAAAAAATACTTATGTCACAGAATTTATGTCACAGGATTTTACCTGTGAAAATTCCATGGGCTTAGATGAGTTAGTAGTAGATGGTGCCTGATGCAGACTCCTCAAATCTCAGATTAGGGGGTGCCAAGGACAAACACTGAGTTTTTTGTCCCCTTGAAATTGGGCCCTTGGCTGGCTCACTTGCAAAGGTATTTTCCCATTCCTTGCCCAGCTCAGTTTGAAGTGGAGAATGTGGTTAATTCACATTCCTGGAGGGCAGTTAGCTTCTGCTCTGAGCTTCTTATTGCACTGAGGTGACGAGAATTCCCATAAAACAAGACCAGGGTGACACTCTTCCCTCTAAAAATCCACCTCTTCAATAACAGAGAGTAAATCACAGATTAATTTTCCTGTATAAGCAGTAATTGCAATTTCAACTTGTCATTTTAGGGGGATGTTTGGGAGCATTCTGAAAAATCCGAATGCCTGTTTTAGAAGTTTTTAGTCTGGGTTTTTTTCTCAGTGATTTTCTGCTTCTCCGGTTTTAATATTTCACATTCCCCCTGCCATAGTAATGTAATGGAGAGAGGGAACATGGTCCAGGGATTGGGATATTGCCAGCAGAACCTTAGGAACCCTGTACATTCACCTGTGAAGGACCACAGGTGATAGTTGTCCTGTCTCCACCTTCATTTCAGAGCTGTAGTGGAGGAGTAGTAGCTCTTGTGTGCTGTTGTTTCCTCCATGGTTCAGGTGGGTGAGTCTTGAATTAATCTTTACCACAGGCCTTTTTTTATTCAGCTTTATTTTTTGGTGAGGTTGTTCCAGTTTCAGCCTGTAAACAAAGTTCCCTTTGGCAGTTCACAGAATCAGGGAATGGTTTGGGTTGGAAGGGACCTTGCCTGGCTGGGGTCTGCTGTTCCAGCAGGCTCCAAAGCACATCAGTAGAAGTATCAACCCAAAGGGTGATGTTGGTCAGCCTGACTGCTTTGGTTTATCCAGGGTATCCCTGACTGCCTTGCACAGAGCCCTCCTTACACCTGCTATCAGCTGTTGAGGTAGAAGTGCTGCAGAGCTGTGGAAAATTAGGGATTGATATCCTTCCAATGAAGCCACAGGTCTGGTTAAACTGATAGCTAGACTTTAAATGTTTAATCAAGTTTTTTGAGGGATGGCTGTTCTAGAGCCAAGGTATGCCTCTCTCAGGAATGTGTGCAAGTCTGAGAGCCCTGCCTGTCACACCAACATTCCCAAACTGAAAATCAAAGACCAAGCCACTCGCCTTTGTCACACTGCCTGCCCTGTCAGACAGCGCCACAAATGTCCAGTTTAAGGATGACCAATGTAAAATGAAGCAGTGATTTTTTATTACACTCCATGTTCCTACTGTTTCTATGGAATTTTTAACTGGTTTGGCTCATTCTGTGTCCTTGTGGTGGGTGTGGAGGTGGCCTTGACCACTCTGCTCTCTGTGCAAGGCAAGGGGAAAGGTGAGCGTGGAGCAGGAACACTCAAAATGGAGGATGGGAGGAAAGGTTTGGGGTTTAAAACACTTTCAGTCAATGTGTTGTTCAGCTCTTGATGTCAGCATTTCTGTACCTGTTGGGGTTTTGCTTGAAACCATTTCCAGAATCCTGTTGAAAGGGGCTGAAGGTGTGTGGGTCTGGGTGAAGAGCAGCTGGAAATTGAGGCCAGTAGAGAGGGAAACCAGGTGTCTGCAGAGTGGGAAAGGAGCACTGGGATAACAGCAGTGTCCTGGTGGAGATGCTACTCCATGGTGGCTGGTTTCTCACCACTGGGCTGCTCCTGCTCACCTGCAAACACTTGGTGCGTGGAGCCAGCTGTTCACTGCAAGGGGTGGTGTCTTTAGAGGCTCTGGCAGCCTTTATTTTGCACCCCTGACAGCTGGAAACTTGATTTAATTCAGGAAGAATCTCAGTCTTCTTTGGAAATGTTAGGAGCCGGAGGTTGAGGACGGGAGTCACAGAACTGTGGTGGGTGATGGTGTGGCAGGTGTGTCATCGCTGCTGCCCTGCGGAGCGGATGCCGCTGTCCAGGCGTGGTGAGGGCAGTAGGATGTGCCTGGTGTCCCAGGGCTGCTCCATCCCAAAGGTGTAGCCTCAGGGCAGTCACCACTGCGATTAGGAAAATTCAGGTGGTGTTTCTTGCTGGCCTTTCCTCCAAGGGTTTCTCCTGGAGCTTTGTTCCGTTTCAAAACCTGCCCGCTCCGTTTCGGGGAGGCACAGCCGCTCCCGGCGAAGCCTCGGCTCAGAGAGCAGGAGCGAGGCTGCACTGAGAACCATTCGTGCTAAAACCTGGGAGCTGTTGCTTTAAAAGGGAAAAAAAAAAAAAAAAAAAAAAAATCCTTTGTGGGCTGTGGAGAGAAAGTGCTAGAACTGTGCAGGATCATGACTGGAAAGCAGGATCCCTGAGTGGTCACGGAGGCTTTCCTGGTCCTCTCCAGCCTGCCGTGGATTTAGCCAGGATGCTCGTCCCCCACAGCAGATAGCAAACGAGGGACAAAGAAACCCTATCGAGGACAGACCGCTCGGCAAAGGGAATGAGGCAGGATGTTGCTCTTGTGTTAAAAGGGATCAGCATCTCCGTGCCTAGACATGGGAATCACGTTTTCACCAGGATCGCTGGGTTGCAGTGCTTGAACCCGACCTTCCCGAGGACTCCGATCGCTCTGCGCCGCCTCGCGCTCCCGAGCCGCTTTTTTTTTTTTCTCACATATGTAATACTGGAGGTTTAAAAAAAAAAAAAAAAAAGGAAAAAAAAAAAAAGAGAGAGAGAGAGAGGCAAAGCAGCCCGATCCAGGGATTCGGAGGCATCCCGCTAGCGATCAGCTGACGCGCCGAGCCGAGCTGCAATGTGTTGCTTATTCATTTTGTACGGTGGGAGCTGCCGGGAATAGCAGAGAGCTGAACTATGCCTCTCCTACAGCCGCGCTTGTGCAGACAGAGGGGTGAGAGAGAGGCAGCCGCCGCGGGAAGAGCACAGCCGGACTTTCTCCTTGTTTTTATCCATTTCTGCAGGATCATGTATTTATAAGGGATGAGGTGGGCCACAGGGATCGCAGGCCTGAGGTGCGGCCTACCCAGTCAGTGCAGAATCAGGCCCTCCACTACCGGAACCGAGAGCGCTTTGCCACAATCAAATCAGCATCTTTGGTAAGAGCCCCCCCACCCCATCCCACCCCACCCCAGCTCCGAGCCCCCATCGCCTTCCCTCTCCTCCCTGTGCTGTTGGTGGGGTTGGCATAGCAACTGGATATTGCACTGAAAGAGATTTTTACCTCTGTGTGTGTGTGTGTGAGAGAGAGAGATGTAAATGTGGAATATATTTAATTTCTCTGTGCATTTCCACTGTATGCGAGATAACCCACCTTCCTGGGTGAAGTTAATATCATTTCATCCCCCCCCCCTCCATTTCCCACCTATCCCTTTTGTTAATATATTTATTTGCATGTGCATAAAGTGTGTTATGAGCTGTGTGAGAGGTGCTGAAACGCTGTGGAGGTGCAGATGCAGATGGGGTTTGGGAACAATAAGATCCCTGCTGCCCGCCTGAGCCGCTGCCTGTTTTTTCATTCATTCATTTATTTCCAGCAACTGTACCGTGACTGCATTTTCCAGCTTGATCCCTTGGAAGGATTGCTGGGCTGCGATAAGGGAGAGAGAGGGCTTACAGCGGGCTGTGGGCTTACAAAGGGGAGGGGGATGGGATGAATCCATCAAGATTTGTACTATTGCAAATGTGATTGCTGTGGATGCCTTTGTAGTAGGGAAAGGGGTGTGTGCCGGAAGAGTTAGTTGTGTGCCGCCTCCCCCACCCCGGGCTGCGGTCGGGAAACAGCCTTTTCAGGGGGAAAGCGCTGAAAAATGGCCTTTCGGAGCTAAAATGAATGTCATATTTAATATTTCAGCCCGATGGTGTTAGAGGTCAGATGGACGGGGAGCGTTAGGAAGTACCCACGGTCTGGCCATGGCACTTGCTCAGTGCTATGACATCATCCTGGACCAACCCCGAAATTACACCAGCGAGCCCTCCCCTTCCCGCTTCACCCTCCCTCCACCGTGGGGGTTCTCCTTCCATACCACCATTTCTTGATCCCCCAAATCCCTTCCCATTTCTGCCTGCAAAAACCAGCGTGTGTGTGTGTGCGTGTGTGACCACAGCAAAAGGTTGTGAGGGGAGGGGAAAAAGCAGCAGCAGCAGTGCCAGCAGCAGTGCAAAATTTTCCTGTGTGATTGTTGCTGCTGCTGCTGCTGTTAAAATCAAAAATGATGCTGTGGCATTCCTGGGAGCATCCAAGTCCCATGCTTTGCAGGTGTTCTTTGGGGTACCTGTCCTCTGAGTGCTCCCAGGCCGGTGTCCCCTGCTCCCCTTTCCCTCCCTGCTCCTCCCCAGTGTAAAGAGTGACCTAGAAATGTGTGTATTAAAGCACTTCATGCAGCACACCTGACACAGGCAATGATTCCTGGTCTCCTGGAGACCCTCTGCCCTGGGAATTTGTCCCTTTTTGTGCGTGTGTGTTTGCACCCAGGGTAGTGCCAGCACTATTGCCTGCACTGAGCAGATAAAAGTAGAACCCAGTTAGGTTGGCTGGAGGGAAGAAATGATGAATGACTCAAGTATCATACTCCAAACATACATACAATTTCATTGATAAATTGATATGTGTGTTGAATATATTCCTATTCTTTTACTCCCTGTGGAAAGCTGCTGCACCTTCTGTCCTGCCTGAGCAGCAGAGTCCATAACTCCTGTCTTCCCTGAATATGTCACCCCTGGGCTACTTGGGTGGCTTGAAGGGATTGCATGACCAGGTCCCTTTGGGAATTAATGAAAGTATGGACTGTGAGGTATTCCCAGACCTCTAGGGAAGACAGCTCATGCCCCAAGGTCACTCCTTAAATCCCTTGGCAGCCTCCTGTGGGGCTGGGACTGTGTCTGCCTTAATTCCTTAGTCACTTGGATTTGCTAAATCTCTCTGCTTCGCTGACCAGGTGATGATAAAGATAAAATTAATCCTGGGTGGGGAAGATGGTTGGCTTTTTGGAAAACTTCTCTTTCTTGGGTTTTCTGTGGAACATGCTCTGACAGGGACTGTGTCTGGGCTCCCATGGGGAGAGCTTTGGGTGCACACCTCAGGTGGGCAGTACCTGCACAGCACAGTGTCTTTGGGGGAGTGGGAATCACACTCATTAGCTCCTAAACTGGCCAGCAGGCCTTTGGAAAAGCACATGGAATTATGTGTCTTGCAGAAGCTCTCCTGTCCCCACCACACACACACACACATATCCCCTTCCCAGTGTAGAGAGGAGTTCCCAACCTTGGTGCTCCAGGAACTGTTGAGTGTCCTCAGGTTCTGGGGTTACATGGCTGGGGGAGAAGTTTCCCTGTGTTTACCACAGAAATATTTCCTTGTGATGAGCTTTCCCTTTAATAATCTTGCATTCCCACCTCTTCATGTTCCAAAATGGAAATCCAGAGGTGGGGAAAAAAACCCCAAGTTTAAAGCTGTTGCACAGAACTTGGGTGCCAGTGCTTGTGTCTGAGGTGCCCACGTGGTGTCAGAACACTTTGGTGTCGCTGTGGGTTCGGTCACCACTCAGTGCCTGGGCGATGTCAGTGGGCAGTGGTGCCCAAAGCTGCTGCTCCTCTGGCCAAGGGAGAACTTCTGCCAGCCTTCCTGTCTCCAGCTGAAATATCTATGGAAAGGGCAGGGTCAGTCATGGAGCTGATACGGGAGAATGACTGAAACATGTGAGGAATTTACAGCGTGAATCAGAAATTCAGACTTTATTCACCTCGCTGTGTTAATTTACTCTTTCAATGGCACCTGGAAAAGATTATTCCTGTGTGAATGGGTGTTCAGGATCCCCACAGTGTTTTAAAAACAAGCTTTGATGGTTCCCTGCATCCTTGCTGCTGCCCATCAGTGGGTTTCTCAGCAGCTGGGAACACCTTCCCGGGCACGGGAAGGTTGTGCAGTTGGGAGCATCAGGTGGCTTGTGTTGCAGAGAGTCAGAAAATGGGAGTTCTGACCCCAAATTCAATAGCATGGGGTGGTGTTTGGGTGTAAAACCTTCTTTTTATGGGATTTGCTGAACACCACCCTCCATCATGAAAGCAGGGCAGTGGGATAGAAGAAAAGCACCAAGTCTGGGGGCTGTTCACTCCTCAGCTGTTTCTGGCGGTGCAGTCCAGGGTCTGGGGGCCTCAAGTCCTTGTTATTCACCCTTAGATCAGGATATTGCAGATGGAGAGAAGACTGGCATTCCTGAAAGGAAGCTGGATCTCTTTCCAAAAACAGGCTCAAGGAGTTTCAGCTAGTGCAGGGGTCACAGGAGAGCTCACATGAGGCAGCTGAACACTCCAGATGACCCAGTGATCTTCAGAGTGATTCCCCTGCCCTGTTACTCTGCAGAAGCATCCTGTGAATAAGAAGCAAACTGGACAGACTTCCAGAGAAAACAGTGAAATGAACTATCCCCAGAGAAACAGGCTGTGAATGTACCTTTCTGGTCTTTCAGGAGTGTCTTGATATTACTCAGGTTAAGGAAAAAAAATGAGCAAATGTGGGTAAGAAAATTGAAGGAGCTTAACTTGGGTCATAATTCAGTCATCAATTTTAATAGCAATTTTTTCCTGGACCACTTTTCTCTTTAATCATTTTTTTGTGGTAACAGTAACCATCACTCACTTGGAACAGTGGTGGAAAATACCCTGCATGTTTCTGCTGTTGTAGGGAAAGTTGCCATCTGAAATGGAGATCAGGTACCTACCACATCTCCATATTATTTTGCAGACTATCAATGATCCATAAATTAAAAGTTACAGCTAGAAATCTAAGCCTTGAAGCTCAGCAAGCTTGTGTTTAAAAAGAAGGACAGAGGTTCTGCATGTTGATAAGACTACACCTACCCATGTCTTCAAGTGAAAGTTGTTTTTTAAATGTGTTCAGAGATGCATTGATCTGCACTTCTGGGTGTCTTTCAAGCTTGACCCCTTAAATCCCCACTTCCTCATGCATCTCCTCAAAAGCTGCTTTTACAGTTCTCAAATTAAATGATCAAACAGTTAAAACTTCATGAAGTCATCACAGAAGCACAGGATGGTTTAGGTGGGAAGGGACCTTCAAGCTCATCTCATTCCACCCTCTGCCATGGGCAGGGACACCTTCCACTAACCCAGGTTGCTCCAAGCCCCTTCCAGCCTGTCCTTGGACACTTGCAGGGATGTGGCAGCCACAGTTTCTCTGGGTAACCTGTGCCAGGGCCTCCCCACCTCCCAGGGAAGGATTTCTTCCTGACATCTATGATTCCCTAATTTCATAAGAGATCAGACAGTGTGGACACTGTTTCAAAGGCCTTGGCGCACTCTTTGAAATCCAAATGCCAGCAAAAGAAGGATGTGATCTCCAGGGTCTGCAGAGCCAAATGTCCATGTCCATGTGAGCAGGATTCCCTGGATGTAGCCAGGAAAGTGGCACCAGGGCAGCCTGGCTCCCAAACCAGGTACCCTCACACAAAGCTGTTCTCTTGGACCTTCTTCTGCTGAAGCAATGACTTCTTACTCCAGAGGGCTGAGTTTCTCCCCATGGACTCATCAGGCTGCTGCCTTGGGACACCTTTGCTCTAAAATTTTTGAACTTGTTCTTTCTCATCTCCAAGTTCATCTCTTGCTCTGAGAAGCTGCTGGTGGAGTCTTGCTCAGTGCTCTGCTTCATCCAGCACAGAGGAGCTCAGATGGTTTTGGTTATCAAGAGGTGAGAGTAACTGTCCTTTAGGGAAAGGGTTCAGTGTCTCAGTTAAACAATGTAGGAAAAGAAACTCTGAACAGCTGCTGGTTTGGAGGAGAAGTTGTGAGCTCAACTCCATTATGTAAAGCAAAAATCTTGGAGGGGTGAAAGAGAGAAAGTTTGGATTTTATGGCAAGTGAACTGCCTGTGGGAGTAGGTTGGAAAAGACATCTCTGTTCTCAGTTCCGTGTGTGCCAAAGATACAGAGAGATAAGAAACTGAGAAAATGTCATACCTTAATAAAAGCTGTTCTGGTTTATACAGGTTTTTGGTTCTGCTGATGACCTGATTGATTATTGTGTGCTGCAGAGAGAGCTCCAGGAAACTGCAGCTTTCTGCTAGGAAGGATCCTGACATTTTCTGGTTATGTGCAGGACAGATTTGGCAATGAGCAGTTCAGCTGTCATCTTTTCCCCCATCCTAATCCATGTTTGGGGGCTTCCTCATGAGGGGCAGCACCAACCTCTGCTCTCTGTGACCAGGGACAGGACCCAGGGAACTCTAGGCTGGAGCTGGGGAGGTTTAGGTTGGATCTCAGGGAAAGGTTCTTCCCCCAGAGGGTGGTTGGCACTGAACAGGCTCCCCAGGGCAGTGGGCACAGCCCCAAGGCTGCCAGAGCTCCAGGAGCATTTGGACAACACTCTCAGGGACAGGGGGGATTGTTGGGGTGTCTGTGCAGGCCCAGGGGTTGGATTTTGATGATCCTTGTGGGTCCCTTCCAGCTCAGGATATTCTAAATAGTTCGTGGAGTTCCAAGTGTCGTTGTCTAAGAACACCAGAAAGGTGATTACTGGAACATCCCCAAATTTCCTTTTTAAAATGGTTGCTGGAGCTGTTCATTCATTAGGGGCTTAATCTTTGAAGCCATAATCCTTTATTCATTCATGCTTAGTCTGAAGGACTTCTCTGGTGCTGAACTGGGCATGTTCAGTAGCTAATGATCATCCCTTCCACAGTCACCCATCCCTGAGATCACCATGTGCAGACCTGCTCTTTGAAGTCAGAGTCCTGAAGAGCACTGGGTTTGACTGGAGATTATGGTGATGAATTAATATCATGAGCATCTGAATGCAGGCATTTCATCTATGAGATGACCACCGAGTCTACTGTTCTCCTCTCTCATCTTCAGGAATGAAAAGCTGCTATTTGTTTTCTTCTGACTTTTTAATGTCTCATCTTCTGGAAGGCCTTATCAGCTAAGCTTATAATTAGGAATTGCATCCTGTTGTTAGGGATAAATATCCCAGACTTAATGGGAAATCTTTCCTAGGTGGAATTCCTGTCATGATAAAGCTGAGCAAAACTGGAAATGGGAAAAAAAAAAAAAAAAAAAAGGATAAAATTAATGACTTTTGCTGTAAATAAAACAAGTGCATGTTCTGCATCTCATTGGAGATCACACCAAAGGGGAGACTGGCAAAGTTCTTAGAGGATTCCTAGATCCATTTTTCTCTTATGCTCTTGCTGTTTGCTTTGTTCTGCCAACTCCTGGGAACGGAGTGTGCCGTGCAGAACGTCCCACTGCTCACAAAAGGGCTGGGCCTCCAAAATAGCACATCCAGGAAGATCTTGTGCTGCTGCCTGGAGGTTCCCATGTCTCTGTGTCTCTGCAACTGCCTGACCACGTCTGTTCTCCCCAAGCTGGATGGCATTTGACGTGGTAAATGGCATGGGTGAAGTGTGTGTGTTTGCTTGTCTTACCTGGCATCTGTCTCTTATGCTTAACTTGGATGGCTTCCCAGAGGAACTTTCCTTACCTGGAAGCTTCTGGCAGAGATCTCACTCCTGGCTTTCTTGACTGGAGTGTGTCAGTTCCTACAAACACTTCCCAGCTTGTGCAAAGCGTGGCTGTCCTTGGTAGGCTTGGAAAAGACCAAAAGCTTTCTGAAGTGTAGGAGTGCACGGGGCTTCCAGGATGGTTCCTGCAATCCCTCATGCTCCTGGTGGCTGGCTGAGATCTGTTCAGTCACCTCGTCCCAAGCATTTGAAGGCTGCTCTGTTACACCAGTTGCTGAGGTGTAAGGGTGTATTTAATCCAGTCAGCTTCAAGAACACACCCTGAAATTCCTTGCACAAGGAGGATGTGATTTACACATCACCTCTTACCTGGTGGTGGATGCTTGACCTCACTAATCCACCATCACCCTGGTCTGACACAGTGCTCTCTAGTCAGGCTGGTTCTTTGGTTTCTTTGCCACCAGACATTTCCTTTTCCCTCTGGGGTTGTCTTTGGAAGGGATGGGGGGAGACAGAGGCCATCCCCTTCCACGCCTTCATCCTTTCACATCTCATTTCTCTCCTGGGACTCTGGCCATGGTTTTCTTGGTTGGCACCTGTTTGCTGTAAATTGCTGTTAATCCGTTCCAAGGTTGAAGGCTTTGGGAGGCTCTTCCTGAGCTCCTCTTCACACTCCTCCCCAGTGCTGGGAGTCATTTTGAGCTGAGAGAGGTGGCACAAGCTGCCTGCCTTGGGTGACATCAGTCGGGGTGTTAATCTTGCCTGGTGATTTCAGAGCTTCTTACTCGATCAAGGCTTCCTGTCACCTCCTGGTCCCGGAGCACAGGGCTGCCAGCAAGTGCACTGGGTTTGCTGCTCTACAAAGCAGCTGCTCTTCTGTTGAACCTGAACCTTCTCAGGTCTGTAGGTACATCCCATCCTGTGTCTGAACTTTGAAAATCCTTGAAAAACTGCCTTCAAATGACAGCAGCCCTGTTGTAGAGGCCAGTTTCTTGGGCTGCTCTGGAGGAATCCATCAGCAAGGCTGGGCTCTTGCAGGCTGCAGGAAGGGCTCTTGGTTTGTAGAGTGTCCCTGATCACCTTCAAAGGGCTGAGCTCTTTGCTTCACACTAGATCACAAAAGCAGAGATCCCCTCGCACAGAATCAGGGGCTCTAGTTTTGACTCCCAGGTCATAAAAAGGATCAGCAGATCTTTGTATGTGACGTTGCTGAGACTGTCTTTAAAAAAAATAAAAATCATTCTTAGACACTTTTCTTTTTTTGAAATGGAAGCATCACCATTTGCATTTTTTTCTGAACATTTTTGGCACGACTTACTGCGTGGTGGTTTTTTTTTTTTTCCCCTTCCTTTCACATGGATACACTTGGGCATGGAAATGAATGTGGAACTTGTGAGTTTGTTTCAGCTGAGCAGGGTTTAAAATCTGCTTAGACCATCTGATCAATCTTGTTAAGAGCACACAGTTCCAGAACAGCGTTCCCTTGTTAGAAAACTTTCAATTCTGGGAGGGAATGAGCTCAGTCTGCCATCCTCTTGAATTTTAAGGAGAAATTTTGAAGGAGGCTACTCATAGCAGGAAATAGATGTTGAGGAACTGAATTGGCATTGGGGCATTACTTGAGGAGGAAGGAAAGAATGGGTGGGTTGAGGGGTGGTTCTTAAAATGGATCCCATCTTGTAAGTCCATGTAACCCTCAGGATTTGAGGCCTGTGTCTGTAAAAAGTTATCCCCTGTATCTGAAGACAGTTGTCCATCAGCCACCTTTGTTTCCAGATCTCCTTCAGTGTTTCCTGGAGCGATAAATAACCAATAACTTCCTTTATTTGTAACATGGCATTTTCTCCTGCAATACTGAAAACACACATAAAAGTCTCAGGAAAAGGTGGGGGGGCTAAAAATCAGGAGAGAGAAACCTTATGGCTCTGTGGCATTAAACAGCAGCACCTCTGAAACCTGGAGCACCATTCCCTGAAAGGTGAGAGGACAACAAAGGGCCTGGGTTACAGGTAAGCTCCAGCATGGAGACAGCTTGCCTGTGAAAGGAAGGCCATGCAGCGCTTCTTCCCCTCTCCCTGACATCAGGTTACAAGACAGATCCATGAGCATGAGCAGGAGAACGAGTTGCGGGAACAGATGTCAGGATATAAGCGGATGCGGCGCCAGCACCAGAAGCAGCTGATCGCCCTGGAAAACAAGTTGAAGGCCGAGATGGACGAGCACCGCCTCAAGCTGCAGAAGGAGGTGGAGACACACGCCAACAACTCGTCCATTGAGCTGGAGAAGCTGGCCAAGAAGCAGGTGGCTGTGATGGAGAAGGAGGTGAGTGAGGTTGGAGGGAGAGGTAAGACAAGGTTGGGGGAGTTGCTGCTTCAACAACCACGTGCTCTGTGTGGTCACTGTCCAGAGCTGCCCTGGCCAGTTTGGTGAAGCAGCCTCAAGTCATCCTTCTGGATGATGGGCAGCTCCATTGGCATCCGCCAGTACCACAGCCAGTGACAGCTGGATAAGAGGGACTGGAGATCCTTGTGGGGGCCTTGTAGGAGCTTTGCCTCATGGCTGAGGGGATGACAAACCTTTCTGCTGCTCCTCGCTCTGTTTAAAAATCAACATGTTAATCCACGTGGTAAATTAGTGGGGTTGTACCTCCTGGGGCGGTTTTGGTGGGGAGATAAGAAGCACAAGGAAACTCTTACATTTATGTGGACATCATGGATTTTCAGTGCAAGCAATTCTCCTGTGGCTGAATGCTCATGGCTTTGTTTAGCACAGTGAGGGAGGCATGACTGAAAAACACAGCACAAGACTGATCTGTGCTGGATTCTGTACCTACTCACTCACCCTTTGTTTCTTTATTATTTTTTTCCTCTCTGTACCTTGCAGGCAAAGGCAGCTGCAGCAGATGAAAAGAAATTCCAGCAACAGATTTTGGCTCAGCAAAAGAAAGACCTGGCGACCTTTTTAGAAAGTCAGAAGAAACAATACAAGCTTTGCAAGGAAAAGATTAAAGAGGCAAGAAACCCTCATTTTCAGGGCTGAAGGGGTTGTGGAATGAACACAAGCCAGTGTTTCGTTTTGATAAACCTGGGCCAGCCCAGGGGTTTAAGGGATACTGTCAGGCTTGGAAGCAAATTTAGACACTCAGCAAATAAAATTTCAGGAACTGGGAGCATCTGGCAGCATTTCCAGAAGAATCTCTGAGGGTGCTAGAGGTGCCTTCATCACTTGCTGTAGAGCAGAATCTTTGAAACCAAGGCTGATGATGGAAAATGGGACTTCACAGAGAAGTGAATTCTTCTTCCCCTTTCTCCTCATCTGTTTTGTTTTTATTTAAGGTGTAACTAATCAGAGCAGTCATTCAGTGTCCCTTGACTAAAAGCCCTCTGATCACTTATGTGAATTAGAAAAAGAAATACATATAAAAATATAGTATATGGCTGTTCTGTGCCAAAGTGCTTTATTTAAGCACAGTGTCCCCACCACACTGCAAAAGTAATTTGCTGTTAAGAATGTAAAGGTGATAAAATTAATAGCAAGGAGCCCTGTTATGTGATTTATAGAGAACCAGGCATGAGACCTCTTGAAGTAAAACTTTAAGCCCAGGCTGGACTCTGTAAAAAAGGCACAGAGCTGGGAAGGGATCTGAGGGGTTTGCCCTGGTCTCCCTCCTGAGCAGCCAGATCCTCCCCTGCCATGGTGTGTTACTCTCTTTCTGCTCTGTGCTGTTCACCCTCCAATATGTTTGTGTTTAATGGCTGATTTTCCTCCCCTTGGTGTGGCTCATAACTCAACTCTGGAGGCAGCAGGGCTGGGCATGGCCGGGTGATGGGGCTGGTTCTGCTGGCACCTTGTGTTGTAGCAGGATTTTGGGTCCCTGAATGGCAGGGGAGTAGCCAGTGACTCCTCCAAGCTCTGTGATCCTAAGGGAAGCCTTGTTTTGTCCCTGCAGGAAATGAACGAGGACCACAGCACGCCCAAGAAAGAGAAGCAAGAAAGAATATCCAAACATAAAGAGAACCTGCAGCACACACAGGCTGAAGAGGAGGCCCAACTTCTCAGCCAGCAGAGACTCTACTACGACAAAAACTGCCGTTCCTTCAAGAGAAAAACGATGATCAAGAGGCACGAGATGGAGCAGCAGAACATTCGGGAAGTATGGCACTCCTCACTTCCTTTCCAAGCATTTCTTTAGCTGCTTTAGCTCCATGTCTCTAGAACAGCTGCTGACTGAGGGTAGATCTTCACGTTCCCAGTTGCGAAATAGAACTGGGAAAAAGGTGGGGGAAAGCTGTGAGGGAGAGTGTTCCACACAGCTGTGGCTGCTTTGATTAGCTGAGGAGGGGTGGCATCGTTGGCTGGCAGACAGAATCACGATGTGGGACACCCATCCTGGGCCGGATGCCTCATCTGAGCTCCCAGGTGCTGGATTTTGGGGGATCCTTTGGGCTGCCTTCACAGCACAGGGCAGTTCGTGCCACAGAGAGCTGTGGGATGGGGCAATACTTTGTTAAGGAGGAGCTTTTCCCATCCTGCTTTCCCTCATTAGTTACTGCCTGTGGTCAAATACCACTTTAGGGAAGGAGTTACTACGTGTAGATTTTTCTGTGGCCATCACTCTAGTACCTGAATTCATCATTAATGTTATTTTTGGATGAAGACTATCAAATAAGAGGGTATTTTAGTGAAGACTGAGTGAGGAATGGTCAAAAATTTCTAACTGCACTTGGCCTGCTACCATCAGATTTTCCAGAATACTTCTCACTTGTTCAGAGCTTTGCCGCCCTTGACTTCAGATGTGCCTGGGGCTGCTCAGCTGCTTTGCAAATCACATCCAGACATCTCAACTCAGGCACACTGAAAATGAATGACTGTGAAAAATCAGATTTGGGCACCCTTATCACAGCATGTAAGAGCTCCGTGGCAGGGATGAGAACAGAGTTCCATTGCCTTGTGTGGCATTTAACCAGGGAACACGCCCCTGAGCTCCTGCATTTTAAGCTCTTAAGAGAGACCTAATAATTTTCAGAATGATCTGATGGTTTATTTCCTGAAAATAAAATCCCTGCTAACTACTTCAAATGCACTGGATCAGACACCTGAAGTAAATAACACTTTCAGAATGTGGTTTTCGTGATATTTTAAGTAACCGTGGAGGTTCTTTCTGTGCAAGTGGGACAGTGTTTGAGAGAAGTGGAGTGACTGTGTGTGTTCATGCCATGTGAACTGCAATCAGGTGTGGAATGGGCTCGAGAGAGGCTGAGCTGTCCTGAGGTGAAGACAAACAAGCCACAGCCTGTTCAGTGTCCCAGCTGCCTTTGTGCCGTTGGGAAATGATCTGTTTTAATCTTGGCTGTCGGGGGAAAATTTTTCTTAAATGTAAAGATGTGCAACACCCTTATGGCCAGGAAGGCAGAGACAAGCCCAGGCCCTGTTTCCTTGCCCATCCTCTCAGCTCAAACCTGTCCCAGTTGTAGCAGCCAGAGGGGCTGAAGTGCCTGTTTGCAGGTGCTGCTGTTGAGAGATACAACAGGATTACAAGGTGTGAGCAACAGCTCAGAAGAATTAGATTTTTTTTTTTTTTTTTTGCTTCTCCTGCAGCAACTCTTTAGGCTGAGGCAGCACTGGGCCCTCCCCAGGCCGGGCACTGCATGTGGTGTGGGGCAGCCCCCCTGGGCCTGTCCTACTCCAGCGTGGAGCAGTGAGGCTGTAAACATGAGGGCTGGATCTGGGCTGTACCAGCAGAGCATCTGTGAAGGGCACCAAGTATCAGCAAGGGGTACAGCTGGAATCACAGCTCCACTGAGCTGGAGTCAGCTCCGTGCTCCACAGGTTGTGGCTGATGCACTGAGACAGAAATATGGGCAGTAATTAAGGAGGGAACTGGTGCCTCCCCCTTCCTTGGCTTGTAGCTCAGTGTGGGTTATCCTGGGCTGTGCAGAGCTCTTAGTGCACACTGTGAAACCCTGTGACCCTCAGTTTAAAAATGTGCTGCATCTTGGGCCAAAACCCATCTGGACAATTCTTTTTCTCACCTGAGGTGTTGTTGAAGCCGTTCCCCGCTGCTTTGGCCATTCTCCTGCAAGAGATCTGGGAGAAGCCTCATTGCCAATGCCGAGCAGGGGTACAGGGGAATTTAAACCAGACAACAGGAGCCCTCACTTCTGTCAGTGCCGCCAGCCCTGAGTTGTATTTATTAAAAGCTGCTGCAATTCTCAGCAGTCACAGAGGGCTTGTGTGGGGTCCCAGTGCCACCTGCTGGGGAGTCCTGGGGCCATCCCAGAGCTGATGGATGGATGGATGGGTGGAGGTCACTGCTAGCATCCCCATGGTGCTGCTGGGTTTGTGTTTCCCTGTGACACACGAATCCTCAGTGTCATGTGGACGAGTGACCGGCACACTCGGCCTCGTGACCTCGACTGCGGCATCTCCGGGCGGGGAACCCGTCCCTGCTGAGCCCTTCCCTGTGCTCTGGTGCAGGAGCTGAACAAGAAGCGGACGCAGAAGGAGATGGAGCACGCGATGCTGATCCGGCACGACGAGTCCACGCGTGAGCTGGAGTACCGGCAGCTGCACACGCTGCAGAAGCTGCGCATGGACCTGATCCGGCTGCAGCACCAGACTGAGCTCGAGAACCAGCTGGAATACAACAAGCGGCGGGAGCGGGAGCTGCACAGGAAGCATTTCATGGAGCTCCGGCAGCAACCAAAGAACCTGAAGGTGCCGGCAGCTTTCCTTCCTCCTCCTCCTCCCCCTCCTGCCTCGGGCTGTGCTTGGCTACCTCATCCGTGCTGTGGGACCGCTGCTCTCCACACCCTCTGCTCTCCCTTGCATCCCTTCCCTTTGCACAGGGCTGCTCTGGGTGAGGGAGTTGTGGGCTGTGACAGCACAGAGCTCAGGGAGGGTTTTGTAGGTGCTGTGCTAATTGAGGCTGCTGGGTAAAAATAGTCCAGTTCTGAGCAAAGTGTTACAGAATTCGCTTCTGATGAGCTGTGCTTTGTTCAGGCTCTCACTGGTGTCAGCCTGGAAACCTCGATGTGGAGAGGGGGTTGGGTGGTGCTTTCAGAGGAGAGGAGAGAGGACATGGGTGTGCTGAGCACTGTGCACTGCCCCAGTTCTGCTGCAGGTTGGTCACAGACCTCTGAGCTGCTCCCCGTAGGAGAGGCCTCTTCCTCCTCCCAGTGTCATAGAATCATGGAATATCCTGAGCTGGAAGGGACCCACAAGGATCATCCAGTCCAACTCTTGGCCCTGCCCAGGACACCCCAACAATCCCACCCTGTCCCTAAGGGTGTTGTCCAAACACTCCTGGAGCTCTGGCAGCCTTGGGGCTGTGACCACTGCCCTGGGGAGCCTGTTTAGTGCTCAGCCACCTTCTGGGGGAAGAACTTTTTCCTAGTATCCATCCTAACCTCCCCTGGCACAGCTCCAGCTGTTCCCTCGGGTCCTGTCTCCAGGGAGAAGGCACATTGCTGTCACTCTGTCACACCCTTGCTAGTTCTCAGATCTGCAGCTTCCTCATAGGGCACAGTTGAGGTGGGGAAGAAGCAGAATGGGAAAAAGGCTGTGAAAAAGCAAATGTATTTTGGGAGGCAGGCAGCAGGTGATGGGCTGGGTGACCTGCAGGAAGCAGGAGTGGAGGACAGAAGGGCCCTGGGCTGGGGAAGGCTGAGCGGGGCCTGTTCCTGGCCCAGCCAGGGCCTGAGCTGGTGCTCCTGCTGAGGTCCCTGTGTGAAGCTCACCCTGCTCAGGGGGTGGAGGTGACAGCACAGAGCACAGGGGAGCCGTGGTTCTCACCAGCCCACCCATTTGGATGTACCGTAACCTCTCCATCCCCGAAGCTCTTCGTGCCCCTCACATCGCTCCTTCCTTGGCAGGCTATGGAAATGCAGATCAAAAAGCAGTTCCAGGACACATGCAAAGTGCAAACTAAGCAGTACAAAGCACTGAAGAATCACCAGCTGGAAGTAACTCCAAAGAGTGAGCACAAGACAATTCTGAAGAGCCTGAAGGACGAGCAGACGCGGAAGCTCGCCATCCTGGCCGAGCAGTACGAGCAGAGCATCAACGAGATGATGGCCTCGCAGGCGGTACGGGGGTGTCCCTGGGCAGGGGGCTGGGAGGGGGGAACAGTTGGGCTGTCAGGTCTCACAGCAGGCTGGGATGGTCTTCTCCAGCCACTGGATGGTTGTGTTTAGAAGAGCTGTTTAGATAATGCAGCAGGTGGCACTTTCCCTCTTGGAATAAGGATCCCGCAGAATGTGCATCTTTTACCTGCTGCCCCTCGTGTGCTCTTCCCTGAGGCTCTGCCTCTGCGAGTGGGGAAGCTGCTCTTCGTGATTTTCCCAACGCCAGAGGCTCCTGGCTTTGGGAAAGAAGAGCAGCGTGCCAGTAGTTCGGAGCACAGGAATTACCAGTGGAGGTCTGAGTGTTGTTTTCCCGATGTCCTTACAGCTACGGCTGGACGAGGCCCAGGAAGCAGAATGCCAAGCCCTGAGACTGCAACTCCAGCAGGAGATGGAGCTGCTCAACGCGTACCAGAGCAAAATTAAGATGCAGACAGAAGCACAGCACGAAAGGGAACTCCAGAAGCTGGAGCAACGGGTGTCGCTGCGCAGGGCACACCTGGAACAAAAGGTAAATTCCTGGGGGAGGCTGCAGGGGGTCCCTGGAGCTTGGCTGGGACACGGGGTTGGGGCAGGGGTGCTGTGCTGGGGGGCTGCTGACCGTGCTCGTTTCAGATCGAAGAGGAGCTCGCCGCCCTCCAGAAGGAACGCAGCGAGAGGATCAAGTTTCTGTTGGAAAAGCAGGAGCGAGAGATTGAGACGTTTGACATGGAGAGCTTGCGAATGGGCTTCGGGAATTTGGTCACATTAGAGTATCCCAAGGAGGACTATAGATGAGGTTAAATTTCTTTGCCATTTAGAAAAACAAAACCGATAAAAAGCAAACAAAGTAAGGATAAAACTTGCAAACCCAACATTCCCCATGTTGACGGGCGTGCTCTCTCTCTTTCTGTCTCTCTTACTGACATCGTGTCGGACCAGTGCCTGTATATTCTTACTCCATCAGGGGCCCCTTTCCCCCGTCACGTCCCGGTGCAGGACAGCTCCTGGCAGTCTTTTCCATAGTATGTCACAGTATTGATGTCTCTGTGCAATGATTAAAAATGTTTCAGTGAAAACTTTGGAGACAATTTTAATGGAGAAAAAAAAAAAACAAAAACACAAAAAAAAACTCAAGTGGATGTATGTTGCTTTTGAGCAATCACTCATTTTACCACCAATCAATGAAAGTACAAGCAAAAAAAAATATTAATAATTAAAAGATATCTACGATCCCAGGGGGAGAGAGACTGAATCCGCAGCCTTACCTTAACTAGCTGCTGCATAATTTTATTTTATTTTTATTTTTTTGGTATTTATTCATCAGGAATAATTAAATAATAATAAAAAAATTTTATTAAAGATTGAAAAAAAAATTTGATACATTTTACAGAAAAAAAAGAAAAAAAAAACCTAATCGTGCTGTACATATCAGTGGTGACATATTATTACTTTTTTGGGGGTGGGGAGGGGCGGGCGACGACGTGGTGATTTTTAGGAGAACCATGCCAGGGGCAGCAGGGACGAGCCCTCGCCCCCTCGGCATATTCTTGATTGTATCATAAATCATTTTCTGCTGTCGCAGAGAATGTGAATACACTTAAATGAGCCCACAGGATCCCAGTAGCACAAATTGGGCTTTGTCAAATCGTGTATTTTGTGTATAGAAGGAATTTAAGGAGAGCTTTTACTTATTTTCATATTGTATTTTAACTGTTTCTCTGATCAAAAATTTTTTTACTTCTTTCCCCCCCCACCCTTCCCACCGGCTCCCTTCTGCTCCAGACACCCCCCACTCTCCAGTTCTGTTCTGGAGCTCAACACTGTCTGTTAGATCATCCCAGCCCTTTTGAGTTTTTATTTTTTGGGGTTGTTTTTTTTTGTTTGTTTGTTTTGGGTTTTTTTGTTTTTGTTTTGTTTTTTTTTTTTTGTTCCTCCCCCAAGTCCATCCCCAACCCCATGATCTTGGTCATAAATATTGCATTATTCACACTTTCAAACTGTGTATTTTCTTACAATAAAAAGAGAAAAAAAAAAGGCTTTACTTCTTTTGCATGCACTTTAAAAAAAAGAAAAAAACAACAACAAAAAAAAAAAGGACAAAAAAACCAACAAAACAACAAAAACATTTTTCAGGTTCCAGGGAAGAGCATGAATAACTGTCAGAGCTTTTAATTATATTTGTAAATAAAAGTGTTCATCACAATGCCTGGCTGTGTCATTGTGGGAGGGGCGGCTCGTGGCCCAGCACAGGTGCAGGGTGGGGATGGGGAGGTGTCCCACTCCACAGGTGTCCCATTCCACAGAGAGTTCCCTCAGCCTGGGGCTGCAGGAACCTCAGGGCTCCATGCCAAACCCGTTTTCCTGACAGAGGAGGTTATTTGGGTAATGGATTGTGGTTTGTTTATGTCCTGCTTCCAGCCTGAGCAGTCCCGGGATGGATCAGCCAGTGTGAGCACTGCTCCAGCCTTAGTCCTGTGGGCCTTAGTCTGGAGTAGTTGGGGATGTTTTCCTGAAAAGCCATCAATCCTGTTGAAATGTTTTAATGGCTGAGCTGAAAAACTGCCCTGGGGCAGACACCACCCCCCTTCTGGAGTTAGGGAGTTCCCAGTTTTCACAGGGCTGCTGATTCCTGTTTGTCAGACCATGTCAGTGCAGACCTTTAAAACAGCACCTTGAAAAAGGGGGGAGGCTCCTGGATCCACAAAATTGAATGGCAGTGGCTTCACCTTTTCTACCGCTTCATGGCCATCGGGCTGGACCAAAGGCTCATTTCTGCTCTAAGCACTTAGGACACCCCCCCAGTCCTCAGTGCAAAGCTGCTGGAGGAGCAGGAAACACCTGGGACGGACCTGCAGCTTGGCTGGGAACTGGCTTCAGGTCAGTAAAGCTGGTCATGGCCAAACTGCTGTCAGGGTTCAGATCGGGAGGTCCTGCAGAGGGAAGGAGCCTCCACAGAGCCAGGGGATCCTTGGGACAGGGACTAAAGGCAGGTAAAGATGGAAAGACGTGACTGCTTTGAGCTGTGTCACTCCAGCCATCAGCACGTTCCAGGAGTGGAGAGCCCCTGGCACAGGGTCCAGCCTCTCCCCAGCAGGAGGAGAGCAGGGCTCCTGACCATCCACCTGCTCCCCTGAGTGCTTCCCTTGTCCCCCAAGAAGACAACCAAGCACACCACATGCCTTGTTAAGTTTTTAATTGCACTGGGAGCAAAGAGCACGGTAACATCAGGTCACCACAGGACTGAACAAAACAAAAGTGGTCTCAGTTTTGAGTGACAGCAGAGAACAGAAGTAGTGCTGTGGACCAGCTCCTGCCTCCTCCTCGAGCTGCACCTTCACTACTGGAGCAGTGATGTGGAGGCACTGGCCAAAGATTAAGGAGGAAAAAAAAGAAAAAAAAAAGAGGGAGGAGGGAAAGTTTCCATTAGACTGCCCTCTCCTCTCCTGGAAGAGGGAGTCTCCACAGCCAGCACTAGCCCAGAAGTGGTTCTGCACCCACCCCCCTGACATCTAAAGCCGTCCCAGGACAGCAGAGACACCCCGAATTGACACTAATTCACAAAGGCATTTGTTTCCCTTAAGCAGGTCAGTTTGGAGGGAGTGGCTGACAGCTGTCAGCAGCTCTAGCTAGGATCACCTGTTCCACGGGAATCAGCACAGGAATCAGCACAGGCCCGGACACGTGGACACAGAGCAGGGACAGTGACGGGGTTCCAGCTCGGGACGCTTGGGTTCAACTTGCTAATCAAACAAAACTACAGCGCCGTGCCCGAGCCGCGGGTGCTGCACACCCTACTTCCCCGACAGCTGCTCGTAGAGCTTGGGCACGTAGTCATCCCACTCTGCCTGGTAGCAGGTGCCCGCCACCGGCGCCCCCAGCCCGTACTTGCTGCGGAAAGCGGCCACCTTGAACTTGCCCCGCTTGTCCCCGGAGCGGTTGGACAGGACGGGCTCGTTGCAGGCGAGCTGCTTGGGCTGCTCGTACACCAGCCACACGTAGCGGTGCAGCCCTGCGGGGAGGGACAGCGTTACCACACCGGGCACACCGAGCTCCAGGTCCCAGGTGCTGCTCTGAAGTGACCCCTGGAGGTGCCTGCGTGCTCCAGGATCGGAAGGCTGAGGATGATGGAGCTTAAGGCAGCTTAGAGAAGATGCACTAGATATGCTCAGTAGGTGCTTGTGCTGGCTGTGGCTACGTGCAGCCACGGGCCATCCTGCGCGGATCGTTTCCTGCTGGCTTCCCCCCACCCTTGTGCACCAAGTTTGATCCATGTAGCACTGCCCGGGAACTGCTGCAGGCAGGTACCAACCTGTTCCCTTGGGAGGCCCGGAGCCAACATAATCCGACATCACGGTCCCACTGCCCACATTGTTGCCTTTCATGTTGGTAACCAGGAAATGATGCCATTCCCTGAAAGGAGAGGGCAAAGAACAATCAGATTGTGGCACAGTCCCTTTATCACTCCAAGCTGCTTCTTTTTCCATAAGGTTGTCAGTGAAGGATAAGCAAACACCTGATTCCTGGATTGCCAAGCACAAAGAGCAGCGGTCCCAGAGCAGGCACTGCTTCTTTGGGATGCACAACCTGCCAAAACCAGCTCCATCAGCCTGCCTTGTGGCCACGGGAAAACCACAGCTTGACCCCCAAGAGTGGATGTTCCACAAGCTTCTGAGCTGACTTGAGAGAAGTGAACTGGTCCCAGGTTTAAGACTCCACCACCAACACAAACAAGCCTAACTCCAACTCACACATGAGCCAAATTAGAGCAAGCACCAGTACTGTGCTGTTCCAGCTGCAACAGACCTCTGAACACTCCTGGAAGAAGCAGCTGCTCCTCCCCATGCTGTCCCTGGCTCAAGGAAAGATGCAAGGACACCGTTTATATGCCAAGCCACTGCCCCATAGCTGCACCTTAGGCAGAGCACAGTCCCAAACTCCTCCTAAGTCTCTCCTCAGCCCAAGAGGGATGTTCCATTTTCCTCAGGCAACCCCGGCCCATTCCCATACCTGAATTTTGGGTCCTTCCTACTGGGCGCATCAGGATCTGTGAGAACCAGGGTGTAAAGCTTCTGCGGATCGCAGCCATCCCACTCGATGCTGGTGGGGCGATGCTGGACCTGCAGGAGTGACCGCGTTAGCACCGGCCCCGCTGCCCGCGCCAGCCACCTGCCCTGGACACAGGGCCACCTGTGACCCGCGCTGTCTGCGACATCCGAGGAGTTCAAACTTCGTGCCACCTCGCCCAGGCTCTGAGAGCCGCGGGCCTCCGTCCGCGGCACGGCCGTGCCCGTACCAGGGTGGACAGCAAAGCTCAGCCCCTCTCTCTCCCCCCACGCCAGGTGAGGCTCCGGCATGAGCTGCCGCAGACACGGCGCAAGACGCCCGGCCGCCTCCCGCCATTTTGCCGCGGCACCCCCACGAGGGGGAGGGGGGCCGGGCGCCGCTCACCTGAGTGGGGGTGAGCACCTTGCCCAGCTCGTCGATCTCTATGGAGCCATACTTGACCCGCAGCGGCTGCGCCGGCTTCTGCTCCACCTCGGCGAGGCTCAGCGGCCCGTCCCACTGCCCCAGGTCCACCGGCATGGCTCTGACTGTGACTGCGGCTGCGACTGCGGCGCCCAAGGCACCGGCCGCGCGCTGCCCGCCCCCCGCGCCCATTGGCGGAGACGCCGCCGCGCCCCGCTCCCATTGGTCAAGAGCCGCTGCCGACCCCCCCCCGCGCCAGCTCTATGGCGCCCCCCGGCGGGGCGCGGCCGCAGCTGGCCGTGTCACCCGGGGAACGGGGGACCCCGAGCTCCTTTTACCTGGGGCAGCTCTGCCTCTCCTGCCGCTAAATAGGTTAATTAATAATTAATGTGCCAGGGCCCAGCGGGTCTGAGCGCTTTGTGTGATGGCCACGTGCCTCCCCCAGTGTAACGTGTCCTGGAGAAAACTTTAAAAGATACCTGAATGCTTTACGGGCCTTGCTGCGGGGTTACACGGAGGGGTGATCTTTTACCACCGCTCTTCCCGCTGCACTGCCTGCGGGGTGTCTCTAAGCGGGTGAAGTACAGAAGCTCTCCGCACGTGGGGTTCGCTTACGCACTTGGTTTTGCCCTCAGGAAACACCGTTCTATTTGTGTTCAACGTTCCCGGTCCATGGGCGGCACCTGAGAGTGACGCCCCGGCCCCGCCGCCGCTCAGAGGGGCCCGCCCGCCATGACCGGGGGGGCGTGAGGTGACCCCAAGATGGCGGGCGGGGCTGGGGGGCGCTCAAGATGGCGGGGGCCCAAGATGGCGGTGCCGGGGCGGCGGGGTCTGATCCACGACCCCCTGGCGGGCCCCGGCGGGCAGGCGGGTTCCCCTGGACGGGTCCGCCCGCTCTCCCTGCCCTGCCCTGCCCTGCCTCGCCGGGGCGGAGGCCGGGCGGCACCGCCTCCGCGGGGCTGTGGCAGCGGCACACAGCCATGCAGCTGCCCCTGCGGGACGCCGCCGGCACGGTTCTTCCTCGCCCTTTGCGTCTGGAGGCTGGTGCCGCGCAGGGAGGCCGCAGGTAGCGCGGGCTGAGGGGAGGGGAGCAGGGAGATGTGTCCCTTTTCCTGATCCTGTGTCTGCGCTGGATGTTTTTGGTCACCTTACAGTTCCCTCAGCAGTCCCCTAACAAGCACCTCAAAGCCTTGATGTATATCAGATATCTCGGTCTTTGCTGACAGACGGCAGCTTCGCCCCTTCCCTACATCCCTAACATTGTCCCTTCTCTTTTGCAGGAACAGATGAGGTGGTGTTTGGGCAGGTCGGAGGAAGCATCCTCCTCTTATGCCGCAACATCTCCAAGGAGGCAACCGAGGTGACCTGGTTCCAAGGGGACCCGCACTCCTTCCCTCCCCTCTTCTCCTCGAGGATCTCCTTACCCCCGGACGTTCGCTTTTCCCTGGTCAACAACAGCTCCCTGAGCATCACGGAGCTGCGAGTGCAGGACGAAGGCAACTACACCTGCAAGGAAGTGCTGAACAAGACGGACCATGAGCACAGGGTCCAGCTGCTGGTAGCCAGTAAGTCAGTCCCGTGGCTGAACCTCCTCCCCTCGGTCTTGCAGGTCCCCAAATGCATCTGGCACAGGTGGAAAAATAATATAAAAGAAGTGCGAGGTGGGTTTGTAATGCAAAATCTCTCTCGTGTCCACTCACAAGCACCAAAACGTGAGCACAAATGGCCTGTCACGGA